CTCCATCCATCCACCCACCCACCCATCCATCCACCCACTCATCCATCCATCCATCCATCCATCTGTGCGTCCGTCCATCCATTCATTCATTCACTGTATTTTGTTATGCAGGAGGAATATAAAGAACACCGTTCAAGTATAGTTCACTGCAGGTTCTCATCTAGTGGCAGGGTTATTGCTAGTGCTGATGCTGATGGTATTGTAAAGTAAGTAGCTGGACCTGATTCCATCTCAGAACTGAAGACAGTGTGTGTTTTCTGGTGTTGCTAATTATTCATTTGTATTAAACAGAGTATGGAGCAACCACCCAGACATCAAGACATGTGCAACTATCATGTCTAAGTCACCTTTACTGTCCCTGGAATGGGCTTCAAAAGCTGAACGGATAGTAAGACATAATAATGTTAATGTTCATGAGCTTGAAAAATTGGTATCTACCTGTCTTCTTACTTTTACAAAATTCTGTTTATTTATACAGCTTCTTTTAGGAACTGGGAATGGTAAAGTAAGGCTTTATGATACAGACAACAAGAAAACTATATGTGATGTTGCTACGGAATCTCTCTACCCAAGGTATATGTGAGAATACAATACATTGTTGTTAGATGAGACATATTTTCTTGCTTTTTGATTGCCTTCAGTGGAAGCAAGAGTTTTAAACCCACCTTATACTTACTCTGAGGTACATGTATGATCCAATACTCCATTTAAGGAAGCTCTCTCCGTGTATAGCATTGCAAGGTTTTGTAAGCACGACTAACATGTATAAACTCGTTTTTTCCCTCTTGAATCATCCCAGAATTGTTTCACTGTCGTGTAGTCCAACTGGTGCTGCATTCGTGTGTTCTGCAGCTTCTAACAAGAGACTTGGTCAATCTACTGCCTCACAACTGCGTCTTAATCAAGGTAAATCAAGGCAAAGTGAGGCGTCTAGTTCAACGTTCAGTGCACATGCTTACAGTGTAGGAGTGTTGCAGTGTTGGGATATGAGGAGCATGAAGTTTGAGGTGAGCATCAAAACGTCCTTTTATCATTGGCTTGTAATCTCAATACCTTCTGTTTTGTTAATTGTTAAGAAAATGATAAGATATGGCACTATTAACATGTTGTATTTTAACTTCTTACTAGCGTCAATTACCTATCGACCCCACCCCTGTGTGTATTAACTGCACGGCCTACAACCATAATGGAACGCTTCTGGTTACTGGTGGCGCTGATGGAATGATACGATTGTTTGGTAAGTTGATTACACTATTCTTAATAATATCACCAGCTCACTACGGTGAGGTGCGAAAGGAAAAAAACATTCTGCACTGAGTCTGTATTTTAGAGACCCACTTTTTCAATGGCATGTAACTCCTTGGTTGCTACAACATTCCTTCTATTGACTTAGCACCAAAAAGCTACTTGTTTATTAATGCCAATTTATACATTAAACATTTGAAAAGTACGATGTTATAATCCTTCAATATTATTTACTCTTTAGATATGCGTTCATATGACTGTTTGATGGGGATGCATGCCCACGAAAATGAAGTATGTGATGTTCAGTTCAGTGTAGATGAGACTACCATTTACAGTATGGGCAGTGATGGAAAGGTAATTCAGACCTTGATCTTCACGGCGTGACCTTATTGCATAATTACTATAATTATTACTCTCAATCACGTCTACAAGCACTGACAATTGTTCAAGGGAGTATAACTGGGAGGTTTTTTTTTCAATGAACCAGTTACAAATCACCAGCAGATTAGCCTAGTTTTTTTCGTAGCTGGCTTTTGTCTAGTGGAAGTAAAGCTAAAGCCATCTTCGAAGGACATTAACTAGCTGCAGTAGTTACTTACTAATTCCAAGTTTATCTCGTAGTTTTTACAATGGAGCGTTCATCGAATGGGACAAAAACTGGCAGATCTGGACATCCATCAAGGTGCGGTCTTCACCAAATCTACTTCTTCTCGTGGCAGCAGTTCGTACGGTAGACTGTTTGCTTTTGATTCTGAAGGACAACACGTCTTAACATGTGGATCTCAATCTGGGATTATTTACAAGGTATTTTGATCCTGTGTTCATCCTGTGAGAGAAATGCGGACTTGTTTTTGTATATCACGATGTTGACCAGTAAATAACCACAATCTTCTGTGTGGATGAATTGACTTCACTCACATTTTTTTGAATGAATTCTCCAATGAAATATGAAAAATTATTTACACCTCCGGATAACGTCGCCGTCGTAGATTTTGCAAATCTTGAAGTCTCTATTAAATCTTCTTGGACGGTGGTATTTCCTATACTAATAACGTAACAATTGTGTTCTTTTATCCATCCTATAGATCGATGGACAAAATCTCACTCAGGTCCTAACTTTACCGTACCATAAACAGCCTGTTATGAGCGTGGACTGGACGACATCCCTGAGTTGTTCTACCTGTTTGACGGGTTCGGTGGACGGCTCCATACAAATCACCTCGTTACTAAAGCAATAGTATAGAAGAAGTATTAACAAATATCACTTATATAGACTTATGAAATTATTGGTTTATAAATATCTTTTCTGCGTTTTTAGATGCACATGCATGAATTGATAGCATACAACAGCACACTAGGATACTGAACAGATTTTACTTCTTATTGCCATACTCTTTATATCCATAATCTTATTATTATGATGGAAACATCAGTGGTGGATCCCACCATAGGATGCACGTGACCACTCTTTCCATTCAGTATCAAAAACCTACATATATTACATGTATATTGGTGCAGGGATGGTCCCTTTCACTTCAGCGAGATTATATATAATAGCTTTATTATCAATGATATCCGCTTATTTCTCTAGTTCTACTTAGATCAGTGCTGACATTGAAATACCTATGATCATATCTTTGTACATACGACACACCCATCTTTGAACACAGGAAGCTCTAACGACGTCAACGTTTATGAATTTCTTTAAAAAAAGATACAATTCCCTGAATAGAGTCAATGTAATACAAATATTCCAATGACAAGGATGTAAATGAACTATTCATACCAAAATAATAAATATATATTTTCTTAAGAAATGAAAAATAGAATGCAAAAATTATATCAATAAATAATTTAGCAAAAATCTTTTTTTTTTTTTTGTATGACAGTAAAATACTTTTGTATGCATCTAGTTTGTTACTCAGTACTTCTTTTTTGCCTGTTGTTTCCGTCATTCGATCGTACCTCATGATGGCCTGTGTGGTCAGTCTGTTTGATGAAACGCAACTGAGTTTGCGGAGTCGCATAGGTCGGAATGGGAGTTGATCACGATCGGAGTAAAGTTCAGCTTACACTGATTTAGGTTGCGTGACTTGACTGAAAGGCAACTCAAAGTGCGCTTTTCTTCTTTATTCTCGTGCTCCTTTACTCATAAGTTCATATAGACTTCTGCTTTTATCCACTAGCAAAAGGAGTGAAGAATACGTGAAAGGAAGGATGGCAAAGCTTCCTTTATGTCTTTCTCCTTAAATAAATTAACAAAATTATGATAATGAAGTGGCGGCCATATTATTAAGACATAATCAAGGACTAGAAGTCACAAAAATTAAAGTTGATTTAATCCTTGGAAGAAGAAATGCGTAAAATCAAGCGAGGTTGAAAAAACATGGTTAGATAACAGGAAAAAGACTGTATGAAGGGGAAATAAAGATCATAAGCCTAGCTCGTGAACAAAATAATTAAAATCTTGTGATGGCGGATTTAACGTCATTAAATTCTGCGAAAATAAGGGCAAATCTTGTCATGTGACTCAAAATGCAATTGAAAATAATACCAAGCCTCTAATATGGGATTCCCCCTGGGATATCTAGCCAATCAAATACGTCGTCATATAGTAACATTCTCAGAGTAACCAATCACGGAAGTGGTTAGAAACTATTACGCCATGGAGCCTGGTAGATACATATATCTGATATATCGAAGTTTGCTGAAGATGAAGAACTACAAAACATAAACGTGTATTTTTGCCTACAACTAGTCTTTTTTATCCATTTAAAATGGACCCAGGGTTTAGCTGGGAGCCAGAGGAGTTTCAAGTTCCAAAAGAAGACATAGAAAAGTTGATAACATCTCTCCTGGTCGCAGAAGAACAGCAATGGCTTCAAAGTGCTTCACCTTTACAGCAAATTTCATCTTCCCAGATAATTGGTTCGTCTTCTTGTTGCAATAGCCCTCTCTCTCGAGACGGCGAGCCCAGCTGTGGAAGATGTGATCCAGGTTTTAAACTATTGAGGTAAAGACAAAATCTTTTACAGAAATATAATAGGACATACCTTATCTGCCAAGGCTTGCAAATATTTGCATATTAAAATTAATAGACTACTTTATTATTGGAATCTATTTTCTGAAAGCTTAAATCTCTTGCAAAATATATGTTGATTTAACTTAGATCTTTCTTTCTTTGTATTTTTCATATTTCTGTAAGCTGTAATAGTAACCAATATTAAAGCAATACTTGTTAGTCATACTACAGTAATCAGATTTACAATTCATAAAGGAACAAGTTTTGATTTAATTTGCCTTCATCTCTCCAAGTGCTGCGCTTTTGACAACAGTACTGGAATATTGTTTAGACATAACACACAAATTTGCCTTTTATTTTTCAGACATGGAAATAGCATCTGTCAAATCCATTCTTACTTTCAGAATCTTGAGTGAGTATAAATGATATAACTGTGCTCATCCAATCAAGTGTTAAATAGCAGTTACTTAGATTATACTGATACTAGATTCAGCGTTGATTGCTGTATAACCATTGTATAATGGATTAGCTATGTCGGCATGCCATGAGTGAATCAAGGGAGACATCTAACAGATTCTAATCATGTGTGATCTAAGGCGAGTACACTTCTGCTACAGTAATCAAGTCACTCCTCCTGTTGAAGAAGGAAGTTGATGATATCCATAGATAAATGTCATGACACATCACAGTAGGTCCATTTTCGATACCACAATAATGAATACTGGCAGTGTTCTCTATTCTTTTTCCTGCTTAATTTATTGACTTGATTTAATTAATAATAGCTTGTCTAGTAGTAGGAGCAGTTATCTTTAAGTGCTTGCTTTACAGATGTTTTTGGGCCCRGGATAGGGGAGTGGGGTTTTACATTATGTTTTTCTCACTCGATAAAGATCAAAGTTTTAGTTTCAATTAATAATAACAATAATAAAATCTTTATTTAACACAGAGTTGAGATACAGTAGTTGAAGAAAGTTATCTATACTGAAGCTGTGAATTCAGTATATAAGAAGAACAACTCAGTCTGGGTAACTACTGAGAAGTACCAATTTACTTATTTTATGTAATATATTGGATTTGATTTAGGCCTAGGCGATACTGTCTTAGTCTTACAGCAAGAAACAAAGCACTGGATGGACCAAGTAACAGAATGAGACTGGTTTGTATAGATAGTAGTCTCACTTTTCTTTTCTTTTCACCCCATGAAATTCAAACATTCATTATTGAAAACAAAGTCTAGCTCTATAGTTCATATATCTAGTAAGATAATAGGAAAGACTGTTGTTTATTGTGATTTTGATATTCCCTGGTAATGCAGAACATGATGATGAGGGTAATGAGGATGATGGTGACATGAAAAATGTCATTTATAACTTTAATGTTATATGTATATTCATAGTGATTTATACATTGAAGATATTACAACTGTATTTTATTAAAGTTGTATTTGTAGTGATTTTGACCCGCATCTCATATGACTGTTATGTGTACAAAATGAATAGACCTATCTAGTATTTTGAATATTTACACAATGTATGATGTTATAATATTCATTTGTAGGTCAGAGGAGACAGTAGAATAGATCAGAAACCTCCTAGGGATGAAGGTGAGGATTTCATATAATTTTTTTAAATAAATGAAATATCACTTCTCTGGTACATGATATTATGCATGTTATATGATAGTATAACTTGAGAGACCTTTATTTGGTCCACAACAATAATCTTACATAATATACTTAGTTTGATGGGTTAAGCAGATGTCATCAATACGTGTCCCTTATGCCGTGAGATAAACCATGTCATACTCTTAATGTTATGTAATTATAGCTGCATTCATTGCAACAGAGGTTGATGATATGTCTCATGGTATCTAATCTGTTTGCACCATTCACCCTTCACTGTTGTATTGCAGGTGTTAGAAACGTCAGTCAACGAGAGGCCACACTAAATCCCAAGGTATGTGATACATGGATTGATACATGTATGTAAATCTCCTACCATGGATCTGCATGACTCGTTTATTTCATGTGACCCAAAGCACTGATGATACCCTCCCGGAGGGGGGGGGGGGGGGGTACTCCCATATATGGACTATACGGGGATGATCCGC